TTAGGAGTGTTATTGGAAAGATAAAGTAATTTTTTTTTTCGTTGGCCAGAGAAAGATAAAGTAATTCCAAGAACATTAATTAACTTCCAATAATTATCTCAATCACTTGCCATGCATTAAATTTTAACTTCTGTTTGCTGGCATGGCATCAATAAGAATCTGATGAAAAAATAATGCAGACTCAAGGGATTCACTTGCTACCAGCTTATTAGTTTAGGTACTTGGTTATAAAAATTCTAAAAGTATGAGGACTGAGTTAAAAATTGGGATAAATTGTTAAGACTAAGAGATTATTATTTCCTTAATTTCACTCATATCTATCTCGTTATAAAGCTAGAGTTTCTCATTTTCCTTGGATACAAAATCTACTTTAGCTGACACTAAAATTTAACCCCAACCATTACACTCGCCAAAACAGTCAACTGATGCTTAGCTCTTACACACTTCAGTCAAGAAGGACTGTAAACTACCAAATTTATGAAGCTCAACCAACAATAAGACGCAAATGATATATATATGTGTATATATATATAAAATATAGGGATTAATCAACCTTCAGCAGAATCTTGCATCATCTTGTGAAATTTGGAATTATGCAGAACTAGAGGCTTGGCTTCAATGTGTTGCCAATATCGATAACAAAACGATATTTGACATCTGCTTTGAGAAGACGCTCCATTGCAGTGTTCACATAATCCATAGGAATAACCTCAATGTCAGGTTTCACACTGTGTTCAGCAGCAAAATCGATCATTTCTTGCGTCTCCTTAATCCCTCCAATGGCACTTCCAGCTATTGTCTTTCTCCCTGCCAAAATATTCTAAAACTTCGTAAGCTTAAAAATTCTATTCCAATCTTTAAGCCGTCATATTAAGTTACTTCAAGTTGCGTGAGGCACTTTAATTACTCAAAACATTAATCTTGGGTTATATGTTAATTACCCGTCATTAAAGGGAAGACTGGCAACTCCAGAGGCTTCTCTGGTGCACCCAGCATTATAAGTTTCCCATGACGCTTCAACAAACCAATCAAAGGCAACAGAGGATGGGTGGCAGAAACTGTATCAATGATTCCATCAAAAGTGCCTAATACAGCCTAAGCACACACGAAAATAATAACTGTGAGTGATTAAAAAAGAATCATCTGATATTCATAGAACCATGCAATGAACAAGTTTCTAAGGGTGACACCTTTATTTCAGCTGGCTCAGTGCTGACCACAAAGGAGTCAGCTCCAAGATGTTCAATGGCCTCCTTCTTTTTGTTAGGAGATGTACTGACTACTGTAACCTTAGCCCCAAAAGCTTTAGCAAATTTGACAGCTAAATGACCAAGTCCACCAAGACCAACCACACCCACATGAAGGCCTGGCTTGTCCAGACCAAAGTACCTCAAAGGGCTATACACTGTGATCCCAGCACAAAGCAGAGGAGCCGCAGCATCAAGAGGTAAAGCATCTGGGATTCGAATCATGAAGTGTTCTTCTGCAACCATCAAGTCAGAATAGCCTCCATAGGTGATAGATCCATCCACGTACTTGGAACCGTACGTGAGAATCATTTTTGGGCAATAGTTCTCAAGATTCTCGGAGCAGCTTTGACAGGATCTGCAGGACCCAACCATGCATCCTACGCCAACCTTGTCTCCAACTTTGAATTTCTGTACCTTGCTTCCCACTTCTGTTACTATACCAACAATCTCGTGCCTGTACTTGGTACACCGATTAGAATCGGATGAATTTCACTGACGATGTTTCTAACAGATATATTCACAATTACTTCACTGACACTTCAAAATCTAGTTTTAAAACTTGTTCCTGATACATGAAAAGGACAGGGATCTACCAGACCTGTCCTGCTGGAGTATTTTATTCCATATTGAAAAAGAATTTCAAATGAAGTTGGCGGATGCGTGGAATCTTAATTAAATTAAACACGGAAAGTTCAGCAGATGTGTAACGTAATCTATTGAGAAAAAAAAGAAAAAAAAGGAGAACGAATTGAAATTTGTTTTTTATAGACAGTCCTTGGATTGTTGCTGTCGGCGAAATCTGGATGAGTTTTTTAATCACCGGTGACGTTTAGAGGAAATGATTAACAGGATCGTATAAAAGAAAGCCGGGACAGAGCATACCCAGGAACAAGCGGATAGATCGAAATGCCCCATTCATTCTTGGACATGTGGAGGTCCGAATGGCATATTCCACAGTATAACACTTTGAATGCGACATCTCTCTCCCCGGTCTCTCTGCAAAACAAAGGTTCATATTAACAAAGCTCACCTAAAGTAATCAGCAAGTAACCAATAGTGCCATCATAACCATTAGAATGATGTCATTAACTTCCAAAATATTCGGTGAAGCAACTAAGGATCTGAAGTCTAGACCATAATTTCTTGGTCCAAAAAAAAAAAAAGGAATTAAATCAAACACCTGGTAGAGTTCTCATGATTTTCCCATAACAACCAGAGAGTGACGAGTCCTATAAATCATCCACATGTGATCCACCAACACTCAAAAGAGCAAGAAAAGTGCAGAGCATAAATAAAAAGGGGGGGGGGAGGAGAACCTTCTAGAGAAGTTGAAAGGGGAAAGAACACCGGAGGGATCTCTGGCGGCCCATCCACAAGCCTCGCGGGGATGCTCAACCTCCGGTTTCACCGCCATTGGAAGCGTACGTACTCTTGAAGCTGGAATCAGAGAAAAGCTGAGAGAGAGAGAGAGAGAGAGAGAGAGAGAGAGAACAGAGAGGGAAGGTGTACTATGAATTTATGAGGGTGGGAGTGGGAGTGGGAGTGGGAGTGGGAAGAGGGAAGTGATGGGCGTCACAGTTCACAGATCACAGCCAGTGGGACACCGAGACGCAGGGAGTGGGTGGAGACAATGAAGAGAAACAGATGGCGCAATAAATCACCTCATTAGACAGTTCAACCAAATAACTGTTGCCATCGCTTGTGTGGTTTTTTAACGTTTTCTTGCTCAACATTCGGCAGCACATAATCCATATACAGATACGAGATGGGATACATCAAATCGTCAAATATATAATGCTCCTCCTGTTGTTATTATTATAAGCACTTAATAATAATAGTAATAATTTTATATAAATTTATTATGAAATATTAAAGTTTTTTTTGATATACCTTTAAAGAGGGGTGCAACGCGAAGACTTCTCACATCCCATTACTTCTTTCAACCAAGTGCATCAATGCTGATATGATCGCACCCAATATTAAAGTTATTTTCAATGAAGTTAGAAAGATTTAGTTAAATAATTATAGAGGGATGAAAAAATCGGCGTTAACCACGCAAACTTATTTGTTACATTTAATAAATGTCATAAAAACTTTTTTATACTAAGTAAATGCTATTTTGAAATTTTTAAAATGCACTAGTAAATATTTTGTTTTCTATTTTACTCCTTATTATATGCTTTCATTAATGATCAATTAATATTTATTTAAAGACTGTAAGGAACAATTAAAGAAAGTATCAGGTTAATGTCACAATAAGGCTTTGCAATGCACCTTCAAAACTCCTATTATATTCCTTTGACTTCTTTTGCCAGATAACTTTGCTTTTTTGGTTCTATACACCCATTATATAAATATTATCCCTAGATAGATTTTAGTGGCTGAATGGTCCAATGTTCACAACTTTCAACACGACAATTATGAATATCACCGTCTCTATTAGATTGTTTTTATTTACTACCTTTACTGCTTAATATAAGATATTGTTTGATTTTTATTTTAATTCTAAATATAAAATTTTAATCTATTTTGTTTCTTATATTTATATATTTTTTAAGGTGGTGCTTCTAATAGTAGTGGTTTTAGTCAATATACTTAATTAATAAGAATATTTTAAGAAAAACAACACATATTTATTACAAATAACTAACTTATTTTTTTTTAATCTATTCAAATTAATCAACTAGTTTTTATATAAAGATAAGAAATAATATAACCCAACGTAGATCTTTTTTCCCATGTATCAGGCAGATTTTAGGGGCAGAATGGCCCAAATGCCTTATTTCCTGTTGCTCTACCTTGTAAGTAAATGTTAAATATGGATGATGCATTAGTCAATAATTAGAATGTTACGTGAATTTGTAAGTAATTGAAAATGACATCTCCATTTCTCACCACCTATTACTTCCTATATAATCAAACGTAAGATAAATGCTACTCCTATTCTTAATTTAAGATACAATTTCTGGGGAGTATCCCCTCCGGTCCTATTTATAAACTTTAAATCTGAGAAGATATGTAATCTATTTTATAAGTTTCAATTTCGATTTGTCATAATATTTAATGTATTTTTTTTAATATTGACCTTAATTATTTCTCTCTTATCACATTTCTCAAAACGTTTTCTTTCATCTTTTTTTTTTATAATTTATTACAAGGGTATATTTGAAAATAAAAATTTATTTCTAACCTATTTATTGTTTTTAACTAATTGTTCATTATTCATAAATTAGTTACGTTATTTAAAGTTTATAATAAACACCAGAGACAGTGTGATTCTATTTATAATATACACTCAAAGGATATAAGAAATTTTAACTTTTTTTTTTTAAAATTTTTTTTGCTCCTGTTGATTACATGTTCCGTCGCTGTAGTAATTATCCATAAATCGATATTTCACATTTGCTTTTACAAGTCGCTCCATTCAAATTAAGCCATAGGAGCAACCTTAACTTTATGACAACATTACAATGACTTTCCGACTAATATTTCGGCTATTTACTTAAATCCGATAATACGTGCTGCTTATAAACACAGCCAATGGCTCATATTCATCCAGCTATTATGAAAAATACACACGATCTCATTTTGGGCCTTAATAATTAATAGTCCCAAAAAGCCACTACCTAAAGTTTCTGGTCTTCTGTGGGGACCTCAAGATGCCTCAGATCACGTCAACTAAAGAAGAGCTAAAATCTACCACCAAAAATGAAGAGATAACAATAATGGATCTAATATATATATATATATATATATATATATAAAATTCACATCCTTCCACCTGTGGGAGGTCTTTCTAAACGTAGATAATCATACAAAACACCCTGAAATGAGTCCGAGGCTTCTGACTGCTTCAGATAGATAATATTGTTTCCCTTCTTAAATCGATCACTTGCAACCTCAATACTGATCAAGCTATACAGTCCATGAATCCCATGCCTCGCTATCGCATTGTCTTTTCCCATCCTTGCTGTCTCATAGTGTGGATCAACGTCTCTCCCATCATTGAACCAAACCTACATATAATAATCACAGCAATATTTTCACTTGTGCCTTGATTCAGAACTGTAACACAGACTTAAGAGAAAGATCGATAAAACGAGGTAGTTACACACACACCTGCAACCTGGCTTCATTTGCTGATGCTAAGGCCACTTGAAACGTGTAGTTTCCTGATGATGTTTCTTCGTCAAGTTCAAACTTAATCTGCCATGTTGTCGGTTGGTATGTCTGCTTTCCTGTCCTTCTGCTCACAAAGCAAGTTACGATCATCAGAACCAGTTGACGGGGCTTCTGAACAATAATGGACAGCTAAATTAATTCGACCACGTAGAAGGAGAGTAAAGGAAAATAACCTGGCAACATGAGCAAAAAACCAATTCTTGTCGTGCTTATCCACGCCAACATTATAAACTAGATCTTTCTCTGGATATAAGTCAGTGTAACGTTCCCACAACCCATATTGTCTAAACCTGTGAAAAAGTTAAAAATGAAATTAGTATAAAAGGAGAAGAAAGAGAGCAATATAATATAGCAGCAGTCATTGTCTAATTAAGGCTTTTGTTCGAACTTGTTTCGTGCATCATTCTGGTACAATCTGTTCACGAGCTTAGGGTCAGGGTCTGGTACGTATAACTCTGCGGCTGAGCGATCTGGGACACCAATTTCCCATATGGTAGGACCATTCCTTGGAGGACGATATACAAGTGAACCCAATTTAATAACACCGCCTACAAGAACGAAGAAGTCGTTGATTAGTTCTCATATTTTAAGTTTAAGGATTAAGCTAATTAGATACATCTGGTTTGAGTTCTTGTACCTCGTTTGATGGTGATTGTAGTATTGTATCTGTAATCACCAATAAAGCCAGGAACCCAGGCATACAAATTATAATCCCCTGGTATAACGGATTTGATTTCAAAGTAGCCATTCTCATCAGCTTGAGTCCAGAATTGATAACCCTATATAAAGACATAAGCAAGAGTTTCACTAATTTCTTGCTGCCCAGCCAGTATATATGAAACTTAACTTCAAGCGGCAACAGAAATAAATACCTTGCTCTCTCTCTGCCATGATCCATTTTCTCCAGGCAGAGCTAGACCAACATAAGCAAACTTAGCATTGAAGTTTCCCCATCCCTTCTTGAACCTGGCAAAGCAGGACAACTTAAGCTCGTCTTCTTATATAAATGGGTTTATTACAGAACAAATGTAACAAAGATGCATGAACGTATATATACCAATCTCGGACTTGCAATCGCCCATTTACTGTTCCTCGTTGATTGGGTAGAATGAAATCTGGAGATCGAGGGAAATCATAGGGCCAGCTTCTGACTTCCTCATTGAACTATCAATAGAGTTTGAAGTACAAGAAGAAATCAAGTCTAGTGACATATAAGCTATCCAAGAGTATTACACTGTTTAAATGGGATGTCATAGAGTACCTGTCGAACAGCATCTGACCAGAGTGTGTCTATATTGTTATTTCTGGAAGCAGAGTTGAGATAGACAAATACAGGGCCAAACACCTTCTTGTAAGTCTCCCCTTTTTCAAAATTAATGGACACACTTGTCCCAGCGTAGTGAGTGCTCACAAACATCTGCGCATCCATTCATTTCAGCAATTTTAGAGAGAGAGGGAGAGGGAGGGAGAGTCGCTTTTGACACTTATTTGAAATCACTTGAGCAGGTTTTTAATCATAATTTAGGAAACACGAATATAAATATACTATCTCTGGTCTTAAATATAAAAAGTTAGTTTGATTTTTAATTTAGTTTTGTATATAAGATCTCAATCCATTTTGTCTTTTATATTTATTTATTTCTTCCAAACTAATCTTTGTAATAGTTACACATATTAAATATTTTATCAAATGGTAGCTCGAGCTAATACACATGATTAGCAACGGTATTATAGAAAATATAATATCTATTTATTACAAATAACTAATTTGACAAACTTTCTTAATCTACTCAAATTAGTTAATTAGCTCTTATATTAAAAATCAGGAGTACTATGTGAGTAGAAATGTAGAATTTTATCAGGCTCACGTGAAATGTGCTTCTAATCATTTACGATCCAAACAAATTCTAAATATGTCAATTAAGATGTGCGATTGCGTCGCGTATTTGCCACGAAATTTTTTTTTAAAAAAAGAAGGAAGTTTCAAAGTCGTCATCTTTGAATATAGAACTAAAGTCACTCGAAATTTTTTTTATAGAACTAAAGTATACACAGAATTATAGAGATAAATTCTCAATTCAATAGTATTACAAATAATTCAAGTTTACTTCAAAGTTGCCAGTGATGAATGACGTAATAATATAAATTTGCAATGATTTGCGATATCATTTGTAAGTTGAAAAATTTTTGGGTTCGATTCAGGCTATTTAATCATTTCATTTAATCTTTCACCTCACAATTTAATGAATTTTGAGAATTTTTTTTCTATTTTTATATTTTATAACATATTCCAACAGTGTTTAAATATCAGGGGGGAGTACTACTCCTCTTATTCTCAATGTAAGATTTAATTATTGAGTCAATTTTAATCATAAATATAAGACTTATTTATTTATTAATTTTTTAAATTATCCTTATTGATATTTTTTAACCATAATAACATAGGACATGAAGAAAAGATATTAAGAAAAATAATTTATTTTAAAAATATATATTATATTCTTTTATAATTAAATAATTTATGTAAATTTTTTAATTAAATTAAATTAATTAAATAGGTTTTATATTAAGTATTGGTGGAGTAAATTGAAATATTTGAGCCCCGCTAGAAGAGAATTAGAGAAGGGAAAGTCTTACCGCAAGAGAGGTGGGGCCAACATGAGAAGTGAGATCCTGCTTGGGGGGCCCGCCATTGCGAAACTCATTACTTGGCGCTATGACCCAGAAGCCAGCGTGTGGTTCTGTGTCAAAGCTAATCCATCCATGAACACAGTTTTCTTTGTTCTCCGCCGAGTACTGGTATTTATCATCCACCTAATAAACCCAACAAAGACCAACATTTTACCAACCATATTACAGAAGTTTAAGAAAATAAAGTGTACGATTTTGTTGTATAACACAATAGACACATATACACACCTCTCCTCTGATTCTTGGATTCTTGGCCGTGGTCAAGAGAACAGCTTCAGGATAAGCCAGTTCCTGTCCATTGATTCTATCCTCAGCTGTTGGCATTACTCTTTGCCTCTGCCTTGATATGGCCATATAGTGAAACCTGCACAAAAATTTATATATTTTCGATTAACCCCACAATAAATTTTCTTACTTTCAAACCCAAATATATGCTAATTTTGAATTTGTAACTATTAATTACTTGTCTTGTCGGAGCTTATAAACTAGCCTAATCTGGAAAACCTTTGCCGCTGGAAACCCTTCCGGTCGCTCAAATATTGCGTACGAGTAATATCCCGAGTTGCCTCTTCGCATTATATACCTATAGCGTAACGACAGTAATTAATTAAGTTCATTTCGTACCTGTTTGTTCTCAACAGTTTCAATTAATGGTAAAACAGATTAAAAATGTGTCGGACGTTCACCTCATGTCTATTTTTATAGGGACAGATCCGTCCATGGAATGTGTCCATTGTCTTAAAAATGAGACTTCCACTTGATCTTCGGTCTTCTCTATAACTGAGAACTTGGTCCCCTCGATTCTGTTTCACAGATACAAAACAGTTTTCTCAGATTATTACTTCAGTTTGACAAGTAATCTTAATTCCAAGAATCGTACGTACTTCTGAAAAACTCCATCATCATTTCCCCAAACAACGTCAAGATACCTGGAAATACGAGATCACGACTTGACTTGTTAATTAATCTGATGGGAATTAGCCCTCCGGGGGGGGGGGGGGACGAATGAAGAGTAATGAAACAACGAATTAGGTACATACCCTCTATTGTGATCTTTGTTTTTAGCTTCGAGGACATTGTCAATTCCATTATAAGATATTGCAAGGACGTAGCCTTCTGGTTTGGACAACGTGACTTGGACGATTCCATTATCTATCACAACCTGAAAATAATCGAAACCATTTTGGCCGCATATAATTATGGTCAAAAACGAAATATTTGTTTTTACATTTTGAACCCAATAGTATCTATTCTCACCTGGTTATGATTTTCGTCCAGTTTGACAGCAGGAGAAGATGACGCTGGTGTGAGGTCATTCTTCAGTAAAGCTCTTCTGCAATTGGAGTATGTGCATATATATATATATATACACACACACACACATATATTAGGCCGTCATCTCAAAAGACAGAATTGTCAAACATGCGTCTTCAGTTTTGAAGAAAAAAGTTCAGTAAAAGACAGGATTGATGATCTCTCCTCCTGGTAAAAAAGGGGCATTATTTTTTCTTTATCTTGTTGGAAGGGCGCTTAAGTTTCTTATTCCTCCAATTCAGAAAAGTCGTTTTTGATGACGTATTGCATATGAACGGAGAGATTTTCCCCCGACCCCCATCGAGAAGAGAAGAGATAGAAAATTTGAGGAAAAAAAAGTGAAACAGCTTGTTTAAGACAGAGAAACTTGAGGGATCTCATAAGGCGGCTAAATTTTCCATTCTTCTTGGCATCAGATATTATTGGTTAACTCAGAAAGAATCCATTTTTCTTCAAAGATGATGAAAAACGGACTATTTGGTTGTTAATATATACTACTAGTATGTTAATGGAACAGGAACATGAAGATGAGAAAAAGAACAGTAAAATATAATTGAGAATTAGCTGTGAATTTTCTGTATGTAAAATTGAAATCCTCTCTTACTGCTTTGTTATATAATTAATAATTAATAAATAATTAATACTAATTACTCTCGTTACTGATTGCCAATGGTTTATATAAATCTGACCTGCCACTAACTGAAATTAAGAAGGAATTGTTCGATCACAATCTAATTATTAAACTTTGAATAAATCCATTGAACTGATTTATTTCTAATTAATATAACTCTTCTTCAAATTAAATTTACATTCATATAAAGATTAATTGTGAAGTGTCTCAGAAGTATAGTTTAATATGTAATTACCACAAATGACAACATGAATAGTCATGATAATTTACAACAAAAAATCCAAATCCCATCAATACACAAACATAAGTTTGTAACGAAATTCCTCGTAAGTTATGGAATTGTCTTCCTCGTTGAATTAACCTCTTAGTCACATAAAGATTAGACAAAAGCGAAAGCAAAACATTAATTCCTGGTTTTTGGGGGCGGGCCGGGGGGGGGGGGGAGAGAATGAAACAGAAATACCTAATTGAGGTGGAACCCTCTGAGCAACTACTGAAAAGCATGAAGCAAAGCTGCAAAATCACTCCAAACCACCACATGAACGAGTTACTTCTCTTCATCTTTCACCAAAATATCAAAATCTGCATGCAAAAACAATTTGATATATAAAACGTTGTACGGTTTTAGCTATAAAAGATCAAGAGCCAAGGTTTGGGTACGCATAAGCCATGAGGGAAGAAAGAGTGTTAAGACAATGCAATTAATTATACTCTAAGCTGGAAAACAAAATCAACCAACTAATTAATAAGAACCAAAAAGAAAGTTAAACCATGCGTTCTATTCTCAAACCCCTTGTGCTGGTTTGCTAATAATGAGAAAGAAAATGACGAACATGCAGTTTCTAATTAACAGCTAAACAAAACTCATGGAGATGAAAGAGAAAAAACCTTAAAAGAAAACGAGTTTCTTTTCCTTTTGGCTCTCTTTCCCAGCTTTGTCACTAACTTCTCTATGGAACTTAAATAACAACACGGTTTCAGCCATTTGCGTAAAGCAAAGCGAATACGCTTATATATATAGCTTCAGGTCTTCTAGCTTCTCTTTGATATCACTCTTTTTTTAATTATTATATTTGACCAGTATATTTTTTCTTGATGGATATATCGGCGTAATGTACGGGAAACCTGTTACCCCACAGTTGCTATGTTTTTACTAGGAAAAAATCAACAAATTAATAATGTAATTTATAAGAGACTAGTCTTAGAGAGAAACAAGCAGTCAAGAGCAGGATGTATATATGTGTATTACGCGCATAGGCGAAATGACATGTTTTTTTTTTTAAGGGAAAAGATTAATGAGAAATAATCTCAAAATTTGACTAGAACTAGAATTCGTATTAACGAGAATTTTGACTTTGATTTCCCTTTCCCTTGGTCTTCAATAAAGAAAATATGTGTTTTACAAAATGTAAGTTGTGCCGTTATACCAAAGGTTGACATGATTAATCATAGACTTTTTAATTGACATTAAAACAAACTTGCCCCGAAGAACTTGTAGTCCTATGTAATTTTGTCAAGAAGGTGTCTTGGTGTATACCTAATTCGCAATTCTAGTTCAAAAAAATCTCCTCCAGAATTAATTACACATACCTAACTTAAAATCTACGCAACGGTATACGATGGAATTTCCTTTACCAAACCTAACTACCTATTAATTAGACAAATTAAATACGGAAAAAATCAAAATTTTCAATATTTTATTATTCCTCAGCGTTAAGGGCCAGGATAAATCAGCAACCAACGGAAACTGTTTGTGAACTCAGCTAGTAGAATTATCCCCTATACGAATTGAAGTTAAAAACGGAAATTTCACCTTCAAGAAGATTAACTATTTTTGAAGCTCTCCTTTTTCTACTTGCGTATGTCACTTCTATTAATAATTTTCCTGCTCTTGTTTATCGACGAACTCTGATTCTCTCTGAATTACTTGTGTGATGTTGCTAGAGGTAGAAGAAGACATGGGTGTTTTATAGCTCATCGAAAGTGATGATGTAGATATTTTCCTAGGATAAGAAAAATTTAAAGTAGGAAAGCAAGATCCCAAACAATAAATTTAAAGAGGGAAAGATAAATTGAAAGGGAAATACAAACATATACACATTCAATTCGCAATCCTAGAGATTGTACTTCTATTGAATATGCACATGTAAGAAGGTATATATCTAGAGAGCAGAACAGTAAAATAGCTACAGAAATAAAAATACAATCCAAGTTATTGAATTCAAACCATAATGAGAAAAATCAAAAGTAGAGATTTTAATTCCTTCTAGTGATTTTAATTTGTTCAATCATCGAAAAGAGGAATGAAATATTAATGAAATACTCGCGAATTTGTTGATTCAGGGAGTAACATAACGGTACATTGGTCAACCTTTTTGAAGTAAAGCAACACACATACGTTTACCATTCAAAGATTTGGAATTAAAGTACCTGAAAATTTAAATTCTAGTATGCTGTCAAAGATTTATCAATTATTCTTTCCCAAATGGTAACACCACTATAATAACTCATTCAACTTGGAAGAATCAGACCACATTCTTCTAGAAGTAATAAGTGTGAAAAGGCATATTTCTAGAGCTTAAAGTGAAACTGATTAACTACCACCACTAAGGTCCTAATTATTCCCAAACCTTAACTAAAATATTACAGTAATGCATCCATAAGAGTCTAATATGTCTGCTTATATAGCTTAACAGAGTTTCGCAGACATTGACTGGAATCATTTTCCAAAGGATATATGTTTTGAAGACACACAAGTCACAAGGTTGGGTAGAAACACACACACAGAAAACATTTGGGGTTGTCTCCCACCAGGAAGTAAGAGACATTTGTCAACTTCAAAAGAGAGCAAAAATTCTTTTTCAAAGTTCAAATTCACACCATTAAACGAGAGAAACACGTGTCTGGAATAAGAGAGATTAATCTGCGTCCTCTAATTTCCAAACTGATAATGAACTTCGAATTATTGGACCACACCAACCACAGAAGCAATGGCATAGAACAGAAGAAGAAGAAGGAAAACACATTACAATTGCAGAGAACGATAGAGAAGCTATGAGCTGGTGATGGATCAGTACCTTTCAGAGAAGGAGAAGATGAGAGAGAAACCACGAGCTGTATAGAGCTTTGAAAACGATGAGAATAACACTCGTAGTTGTGCGCATTTGAGGCAAAGGTCGGTACACCTGTTTTTGCGGAACTATGAAAATGAGTTACAACTTTTGAGAGAGACAGAAGAAAAGACATGTGAACAGCCACATCATCTCCTACAGGGATCCTTGTTGTTTTCATCCGTTACCTTTAATATGATATGTTTATATTCCTTTCAGAAGCTGGCTCCATTTTTTTTTATTTCTTTAAATTTTTGGACCAAAAATGGAGTTTTTTTTTTCCTACCGCATAAAGATTTTACATTGAACATATCGACCTTCTAAAAGCGTATGACTTTTTCCCTTGTCTCTTAAAATAATGTATCCCCAGCATATGTATTTCTTTTTCAAAAGAAGAAAAGACTGCGACTTACTATATGCATTGTTGTTATGACCATTTTATAATTAATTTACCACTTTTAAATACGCGCTTTTTTTTTCTGGGTCAGTTAAAGCCAAAGGCACGTTAAATCATCAAGGATTGCACAGTTAGGAGGCCTATGGATCCAAAATTGGCTCGGCAGCATGCTGAATCTGGAGTCCTAACCTTCTGTTTCTCGAACCACGTAGGTAGCACCACTAATTGAAATTTCACTTTGCTTGAATTTCAAATGAAGGGAAGCTCTCTTGATGACTTATTTATTTACAAGAATCAAATTCAACACCAACTCCTTGAAAGAATAAATAATTTCTTCTCTTTCATTTTAAATGTAAGAATTTAGTCGATTTTGTTTCTTTTAATTAGGAAAAATGAGTAATTTCAAATACAAGTAATTAAAATAGATATTTTAGAGAAGCCTATATAAATTTTTTACAAATAATTTATTTAACTACTTTGGAGGGGATAACCATTTGAGAGTTGTTTCTTGATAAGGGCCCTTGTGTCTCTTAGCTAGTTTGTTATTGGCCATTAGTAGCTGCTAGCTGTTAATGACTTGAGTTAGATTCATCACGTGACAAAAACCATTAATTATTTTATTAATTAACAGGAGGAAAATACAGAAACCGGAGTCCTTGACGTTCATAAGCAAAACACAAAACCAAGGGACTTGCTTTTAATTCATTAATTAAGGAACACCAAACAAGTAGGGACTCAGAAGTCAGAACAACCTCCGACTTCATGGTTGGCGGGCTTCATCATGAACTGCTTTCTCGCGGAATAAGCGTGCGGAAAGACCAAGAAAAAATGTTATGGCTCTCAACGAAATCCCCAGTGGCTGCAGACAACCCAATTCTGACATATTCCGGCAGAACATCCTTCATGTCAAAGATTAGCGACAGTGACACAAACGTTGGAGTTTGAACATCAGGATAACCAATCGACACATTCATTGTTTTGGTCTTATATTCATATGAAATACGAGCATTGCCTATTGAACCTGGTGGCACGACATCGATAGGCCAACGATCAGTATTCACTGACATAAGAGTGTTATAATCAATTCCTACGTGAGGAAATGGAGGGTCCCAATCTTCGTTACCGAAGCTGTCTAGCTCTACGGCTAATATGCTATTTTGTGAGTAATTCAAGGCAGTGTCAGGACTGAATAATCCAAGAAAGCCGCCTGATGAATTCGCAGGGAGACTAAGGGCGGCATCTATCGGCTCCATGAAGAAGGTCAAGCCGTCGCCGCGACGGTCAGAACCGCCGGAAGATACAGCGAAGGAGAAGTTGGTGGTGAAATCTGCAACTTCACCGGTGTCACTATCCCAGAGATGGATCGGTGTTGAGTACACAGCTCGTCCAGCGCTGTGGGGCATTGAAAGGTTATTTGTAATATCCGTTTTGGTGAGAAGGATCTGTGAAGCGTATGGAGCGGCATCGCCCTGTAAGATTATGGAGGGTGGTACGCCATCCTTGAAATCGAAGCTGAAGGATACTGATTCTGATGAGATGATTGTGTGGAGCAGCAAGAGGACGAAGGCGATGACGGTAATCTTCATAGCCATGGTTGATTACTGGACAGTTAGAGATATTTGTAGTTCGATATACAAGGAAATAGAAGCAGCCATATATATGTGTGTGTGTGTGCGCGCGCGCCCCTCCTGGCCTGCTAGATGTTGTAAGAAGACAAAAAGAAACAAAGAACCCACACTGTACAAAAGTTGCTATAGATGGTTCCAATGAATGGAAAAGCCTATGCTTCTTGTCATAAAAAGTTAAATACATTCCTATAGTAGCTCTATTGACCACCGGCTTCGATCTTTGACCAATAAAATTTGTTCTAGAGATCGCAGCAAAAGCTAGCATAGTGCAGCATCTGGATATGCTAAGGGAAAATTACACATAGGTCCCACACAAGATAATTAATTCATAAAAAGTCCTGGAAATTTCAAAATGATTCCTAAGTCCTAGGGACCTATGTGTAATAAATTGAAATTAATAGAATTATCTATTTATCCCATTAATTTTATTGTAGTAATTTATTTACAACCTCAATAGTGACTGTTGACAACCTGAAGAGAAGTTAATAACCTCGGCAGTGCCCCTAACAACTCACTCTGTGGGATACCAGGGATATTGTCTAGGTTGTTAACAGCACTGTTGAGGTTGTAAATAAATGGGGATAAATAGATAATTTCACAATTACAATTTATTACACACAGGTCCCTGGAGACTTATGAGATTTCGAGGGACTTTTTGTGAATTAATTGTCTTGTGTGAGACCTGAGTGTAATTTTCCCATGTCTTGTGTGAGACCTGAGTGAATTAAAACATTCCATCCTAAAATAAAGCGTCGTTACTAAAAAGAGTAGATATACTATACAATGACATATACACACACATCCCTCTGCTCCACTAGGTATCCTTTCCGTCTTGCCAATTAAAATTTTGATCGTAAAATAGGGGAATCCACGTACCCACCCACTTTGATCCTTAAGAGTGTAAAATAAACCCACATCCTCTATGAAAGAGGTGCGATCTGCCGTATTGAACCAAAACATTCTTGGCAGCACCGACTAATTGAAATTTCGCTTTGCTTGAATCTCAAATGAAGAGAAGCTCTCTCGGTGATTTACTTATTTACAAGAATCAATTTTAACACTTGCTTTTTGAGGGAATAAATAATCAATCTCTTCCCTAATAATATAATATATTATACATAGTACTCATCACCCTGATCCTAAATATAAAATTTAATTTAGTATTTGGGTTTACTTGGATTTGAGATGTATGAAGATATATGGAACTTCAATTCATTTAATCTCCTAGATGTATAATTTTTTCCTCAACTCTCCCTGTTAATCGCATATATTAAGGTCTTTTTTAAGGGAAAAATTCCTAATGTAAATAATTAAAATAAATACTTTAAAGAAGCAAGTAATTTTTTTTAAAAATAATTAATATAATTAATTTTTTAATATTCATAAGTTAATTATCCAACTTCTAATTTTTACATTTTTATCAATCACGGGGTATGTCATTTGAGAGTTGTTTCTCAATAAGAGTCCTTGGGTCTCTAAGCAAGTTTGTTATTGGCCATTACAATAGTTGCAAGCTATTACTACCTTTAGTCCTTAATATAATAACATATGCTACATATCAATTTATAAGTGAGGTAAATTAACTTTAAAAAATAATATATGTAAATACTTTGAAGCAATTTAGTAATTTTTTTAATTTTCAAAATTAGTCAATTGGGTCTTTTATTAAAAATAGAAGGTAGTACTATATATAGCGCTGACTCTTAATAATGACTCGAGATAGTTTCATGCAACAAAAATCATGATTTATTTTATTAATTAATCTAAACAAAGTACAGAAACCGGAGCCCTTCACGCCATTGTAAGCAAAACACTAAAGTTGGAGACTTGTTCTGGACTCGCTTTTATTAAGGGAACACAAAACGAATAGAGACTCAGAACAACCTCAGACTTGGTGGTCGGCTTCATCACGGACTACTTTCTTCTGCAAGAAACGAACGGAATGACCAAGCAAAAAGGTTGTGGGTCTCAATCAAAGCCCCAGTGGCTGCGGAGAACCCAATTCTAACGTATTCCGGCAAAACATCCTTCAACTCAATAACTCGCGACAGTGACACCAACGTTGGAGGATTAGCACCAGGGTAACCCATCGATACACTCAGTGTTTTGGTCTTAGATTCATATGAAATGCGAACATTCCATACTGAACCTAGTGCTGTGTCATGAATTGGCCAACTCGTAATGTTCACTGACATAAGAGAGTTCACATCAATTCCTACGTGAGGAAATGGAGGGTCCCACTCGTTGCTGAAGGTGTCTAGTTCTACGGCCAATATGCCATTCTGTGGGGGACTGAAGGCCGTCTCAGGACTGAATAGTCCGAATAAGCCGCCTGTTGAATTTTCAGGGACACGAACGGCGTCAGCTACCGGCGCCATGAAGAAGGTCAAGCCGTCGCCACGAAGGTCAGAACTGCCGGTAGACACAGAGAAGTAGAACTCGGTGGTGAAGTCTGCAACTTCACCGGAGTCATTATCCCAGAGGCGGATCGGTGTTGCGTACACAGCTCGTCCAACGTAGTGATTCGTCCCTGGTTTTTCATCTACTCTATTGAGAAGGATGACCCTAGCGTATGGAATGGCATCGCCCAGTAAGATCATGGAGGGTGGAACACCATCCTTGAAATCGAAGCCGAAGGATACTGATTCTGAGTGGATTTTGTGGAGCAGCAAGAGGAAGAAGACGAAGATTGTGAGCTTGATAGCCATGGTTGATTACTGGAACAGTTAGATATTTGTAGTTGGATATACAAGGAAATTGAAGCAGCCATATATATAGGCCTTCTGGCCCGCTAGGTGCTGTAAGAAGACAAAAGGAAACAAACAATCCACATTGTACAAAAGTTGCTATCTGTAGATGGTTTCAATAAACGGAAGAACCTATGCTTCTTATCATAAAAGTTAAATCATATCGATCTTTGACCAAAATTTTATTTGGAGAGAGCAGCAAAAAGCTGTAGCTTACTGTAGCATCTGGATTACCTCGTTTCAACAATGACGCCAAAATAGAACATTCCATCGTATAAAAGCATCATGTGTATACTTCAGAAGAGTATACGAATCCATATAGAATATACTATAAAATGACACGCCCGCAAACAGGTATCCTTCCTGTCCTGTCAATTAAACTTTTGACGGTTAAATAGGACTGTAGAGTTTTTAAGATAAAAGGGGAAAAAGGGTCCTATAATTATTTGTACTGACTTTATATTTTATCCATTACCTTTTGATCCAAGATACGTTTTTCTGTGTTAAGAAGAAAAGGAAAGATATTAGCCAGTCCAATACTTAACGAGTTATTTAACTAATTTAAAATTATTAAAAAGTCAAATAAATTAGTTAATTACAAGACAGATGACATATGATTTTCCTAAAAATACTTTTTATATCAGTTTATAAGTTAAGTAAGTTATTTTAGAAAGTAATAAATATAAGAGATAAAATAAATTAAGATTTTATATTTATTATCAAATTAAGTCACCCAACCACCTCTTGTGATAGAAGCCAAACCTGTTCTCGGTATTCCATGTGGTTTGTTTTAATCCCCTTCTTAAATGATGGCATACACATGTACGTTTTTCAATAAGATCTTCTGGTCTAAAATACTTTTTCGTGTTAAGGAAAAAAAAAGACGAAAACCATTACTTCCTTCCGAAGTAAATATAAATAATTTAAAAAGATTAAAAAAATAAAATATAATAAATTAGTTGATTATAACAAATGTGACATGATCTCATACACTCCTATATAACATAGATTATATATCTTTTTTTAAAAAATAACATTGATAAATATAAGAGATAAAATGGATTGAAATTTACTAATAGGCATTAGTCCTCATGAAGGGGCCTTTGACTACTTAAACACAGTTTCAAGTTTAAGTCCATGTGAATGTATGATGGAATGTTTAGAAGTTTTTTCTAAAGCTTCAGGGGAGAAAGTAAACAAAAGCAAATCTTCCTTATATTTTTCCCCCAAGGTTCAAGGATGTGTCAAGATGAAAATCAAAGCTATTATTCAAATGCAAATTTCTACTGAAATTGGGAGATGCTTGTGTTTCCCTATCTTCAGAAGAAGAAAAGCTACTAAAACTTTTTGATATGTGGTGGATAGAGTGAGGTCCACACTTTTAGCTTCAAAGGCCGGTAGTCTTTCCATGGCAGGACGCATAACTGTTGCCAAATCAGTTCTTAGTACCATTCCTCTTTATCCTATGCAAGTGGTGCACTTCCCAAGAAAACTTGTGCGGAAATTGAACGTCTACAGAGAGATTTTATCTAGGGGCAAGAAAGATCTCAAGCTATTGGATCGGACCAAATTACTTTGCCTAAAGAGTATGGTGGTTTGGGTTTCAAAAAAATCTCGTCTTTGAATAGAGCTTGTGTTGCTAAAATTGCTTGGAAACTCATAAAAGGAGAAAAGGGTCTGTGGGCTAATATTTTAAACCAGAAATATATGATGAAGAATAATGAAAATATGCTTTATTAAAGGATATGGTTTAGAGATAGAAATGGATCAACAAGTCGTATATTTCTGATCAATAGCAGAGCACATCATATATAGTGATCGGTGGGCATCTGCATAATGGACACGTGTGCACATAATGACAGCTGTAGTTGAACGACTTCTAAAACAACTTTCTAAACAGATTTAACCAAAAGTATTAATCAGTATATTAGATGACTACTAATATTCCCCCTTCTGTAATGAAAAGAGCTATATGACTTCAGAGCTTGGAGTTAATCTTGCTGAGGTCGGATCCCTGAACTTCCTCTCGAGAAACTATATTCAGCTTATCATGGCAGTAGGCAAACATCACATGAGATAGTGGTTTGGTCAGTATGTCTGCTATTTGATATGAAGCTGGCACATATCTAACATTGACAAGTCCTGCAGAAATCTTTTCTCTGATGAAGTGCAAATCCAGTTCAACATGCTTTGTTTTTGAATGGAGCACAGTATTTGCTGCAAGTGCAACAGTTCCTGAATTGTCACACCATATGGTAAGAGCATCATCAATCACCACTTTCATTTCTTTTAGTAGCGACCTTATCCAAAGTAGTTCAGTAATACAGTCTGCAACACTTCTGTATTATGCTTTTGTGGATGACCTTGAGACTACTTGTTGTTTCCTTGAAATCTACAAAATGGGTGTAACACCCAGGAATACACAGTATCCAGTAGTGGACTGTTTGTTTTCAGGTATGACTTTAATTACTTCCTCTGGATGTTTCTTCTCTGTGCTTCCCCCAGTTAGAGTCAGCATAAGCTTGCACCACAAACCGAGTTGTAGGCTTGATGAATAACCCATAGCTGCTAGTGCCATTGATATAGCGAAGGAGACGCTTAACACATTGCCATTGTTTTTCAGTTGGGGCGTGCATGAACTAACTTAACCTGTTAACAGTGAAGGTTATGTTAGGGCGAGTGTAGCACACATACTGTAAAGAACCAACAATGCTACGATAGAGTTTTGCATCCGGAAGCAATGGGCTGTCAGTAGCATGAAGTTCAATGTTGGCCGCCATAGGAGTGGCAACTGAATGAGAGTTTAGTATTTGCGCCTTGACTAACAAGTTATGGATGTACTTCATTTGGGTTAACTGAAGACCAGTTGATGTCCTGTGGAACTTAATCCCAAGGAAGGCAGACAAGTCACCAAGATCCTTTAAGGAGAAAGCATTACTCATTTCTGTAATGAGATGCTGAATAACAAGTTTGTTGGTACCGGCAATGATCAAATCATCAACATAAACTAGCAAGTATACGAGCCCCAAATGATCATCTCTAATGAATAAACATGTGTCAGCCTTTGATGCAGTAAAGCCAAGAGAGCAGAGATAAGTACTAAGTTTTGTAAACCAGGCACATGGAGCTTGTTTCAAGCCATAGATAGCCTTTTTCAAACGACACACCAATGGCTTGCTAATGGAATCATACTGAACAAAACCTGGTGGTTGCTCCATAAACACTTCCTCAGACAAATCACCATTGAGGAAGGCATTGTTGAAGTCAATCTGATGCAAAACCCAGCCCTTTGTTACTGCTAGGTAAGCAATACCCTCACTATGGTGGCCTTGACCACTGGACTGAAAATGTCTTGATAGTCCGCACCTGCCTCCTGAGAATAACCTTTCACCACAAGGCGACCTTTGTATTTGGCAATAGAGCCATCAGCACGGGTTTTGAGTTTACACAGCCATTTACAGCCAACAATCTTTCTGTCATAGGGCATGGAAACTAAATCCCAAGTTTGGAAACAGACCAAAGCATCATATTCTTCCTGGACCGCTTGTTTCCAGTTAGGATCTACTAAGGCTTCAGTAATTGTCCTGGGAACTGAAACATCCTCTGCAACAGTGAAGATTTTGGGTTTGAAAATTCCAGCTTTGCTCCTGGTGACCATAGAGTGTATATTGGAAGAAGCAAGGGAAGGAGTGGGTGTGCTGGATGGAGTGGAAGGGATAGACAGCGATAGATTTGGTGGAAGTGGTGGGTGTGGGACATTTGAGGGAGGAGGAGATGATGGTACAGAAGGGGACATTGGTGATGTAGGAGGCTGAAAACTGATAGTAGGGTTTGTAACAGTAATGCGAATATTGAACTGTGCTTTCCCAGGAAAAATGTGTTCATGAAATTGAACATGCCGAGTTATGTATACTCTTCCTATGGCCCGATCTAAACACTTGTATCCTTTTTGCATCACACAATACCCTAGAAAAATACAGGGAGTAGATCTAAATTCAAGCTTGTGTTTGTTATAAGGGCGTAGCAGTGGGAAACATTCACACCCAAAAACCCGTAGAATAGAGTAATCTGGTAGCACACCATAGAGGGTTTGAAAAGGAGTAGCACCTTGGAGAGTAGCTGTCGGCAGTCTATTTAATAGAAACACTGCAAAGAGAAAGCATCACTCCAATAGAATAGTGGTAGAGAGGCATTTGCTAAGAGAGTAAGCCCAGTTTCAACAATGGACCTGTGACGTCTTTCAACTAGACCATTTTGCTCAGACGTGTATGGGCATGTTAAACGATGTTGAATGCCTTTACTCTTCAGAAAAGGAGTAAAAATCAGAAATTCCTTAGCATTATCACTCTGTACTTGTTGAATCTTCGTATTAAGACGGTTCTCAACCATTAGTTGAAACTCTTTGAAAGTACTAAGAGCATCAGACTTATTCTTCAACAAATAAATTCAGGTGAATTTACTGAAAGCATCAACAAAAGCTATGTAATAAGTGAAACCATTCGACACAAGTGGTGCAGGTCCCCAAATATCCATTGATATTAATTCCAATGGTTTATTGTATACAGTAGAAGAAGGGTCAAACGACAGTTTGTGACTTTTGCCAAGTTTACAAGTAGAGCAGGACAAACTAGAAACAGAGTTAAAACTCAAATGCAATGCTCTAAGAACTTGCTTGATTGTGTCTAAATGTGGGTGACCTAAATGACAATGCCACAGGGTAACAGAATCAGAATTAGAAATATGATAACAAGCAGCAGAAGCAGCATTTTTGTTTCTGTGCGTAGGAAATGCTGAAAGTTTGTACATGCTAGCATCTGAGAATTTTCATTGTCCTCAAGTCCTTAACAAAACAAGCATCAGGAAAAAATTCAATTGAGACACCATTTTCCTTTGTAGCTCTAGTAATAGACACTAAATTCTTTTGTATTGTGGGAACACAAAGTACTCTATTCATGTGTAAA